TTAAAAAAAAAAACCAATATGGAAGGTAGATGGAAAGACAAAAATACTAGGAAGGGAGAGAGAGAAAAAAAGGCTACTCCCTTAAAAAGAAAAGGAAGGGAATAATTAATACTAAAGCTTTTCCTTTAAAATAAAAAGCAAGCATAGAAATTTAACTTCCAAAGAGAAGAAAACAAAACAAAACAAAGACAAGTTCCAAAGAGCCAAAAATCCAAATAACTATTACAAAAAGTAAACTGATGAGGAGGGATAGCGCAGTTTAGAAAAAATAAAAAGAGCACACTGCACTTTGTTTAATTATCCAAGGCTCTTGTTATAACTCTCTTCTCCAGAGATTTATCACCTTTTCTTTTCCTATAAGCTTCAACACCAGACTCCAGCTGTTGATAGAAACCCAGAAGAGCACCTGCAATAATACTCTCCCATGCTCTTCCCTCTATCTTATCAAATAGCAATGTCCTTGAAAAGAAGTCTCAGTTCTTTCTCAACTTTGTCTGGTCAAAAGAGAAATAGAATATTTCCAAGCCTCTAGTTGGCAGTGTTACAAAGTTTCTTTTGCTTTCACTTTCCCCCTCCTTTTCCAAGCAAAATATAATAAGAATTAATTAAAAAAAAGAAAAAGATATTTTTAAAAAATAACTAAATGGGAGTCTCTAGCCTAAAATATTATAAAATCAAAAAGGAGAAAAAGAATAGCTGAAAGAAGAGAAAAAAACCCAGTCCAGTTTCAAAATATAAGATCATGTATAGAAAATCCAGCAATGAGAAAAAAAATTTACTTTGACATTCCTGTTTAAAATCGCCACTTAATCACTTCTGTCAAAACTTTTACAGATTATTTCTTTTCCTTAGGGTGTCCTTTCAAATCTTAGAATAAAGAAAAAGTTCTCACCAAACCGGCACACTCACTCTTTCTGTTCTCTTTCATTTCGTAGCTGTCCCAACTTCAGCAGCTTTAATGGCTGCCTCTTTGCTGCTGGCAAAAAGAGCTTCTCCTGGATCTACCAGGGACTTTACGGTATCCCTGAGATCGACAGGATGCGCTCTTCACTTTCACCGTCTCTTCAGGACCATTTAGATCCGATTGGAATGTCCAGAAGCAAAGATATTGGTAGCGATCTTAGACTTCCAAGATCGCATGCCATATTGTCGCGATGCCAGCTCCGCCCTCTCAGATGCCTTTCTTTTTGACAGACCAGCAAACAGTGGGAAAGAGTCATGGAATTTTGTTTTATAGATGGTAACTGCAATGAGATTATTATAGCACAAAGGTGGAAAGATTTGACATTACTCATAAATTGTTGAGATGGCTACATTCACGTTAGATTAGATTAGATTAGATTAGATTAGATTAGATTAGATTAGAAAAAAGATAAGTAAATGTAATCCTGACTGCCTTAACAGTCTTGATGTGTGTGTTTTACAATGAATAAAAAGAATTTATGATATATTATTTTAATAATTAGAAAAATATATTGTTGAAAAAAGGAAAGTTATGTTGTAACCCAGAATAAGACATTAATTTATATCTATATTTAGAATTCCTATAAAGAAAATAAGAAACTATTTCTTTATATTTTATTTCTTTTTTCCTGCATTCTGGCTTTGTCCTTTCTTTTCTTCTTTTTTTCTGCAAGATAATATAAACAACATGATAAATCATAAAATAAAATAAAACTAGAAGAAAGGAACCTCAGATTGTAAATTAACCTATTCTTTAAAAGCCTAGAAAAATGTAAGAGCTTGGAGTAAAGCAAAAAAAATATTATGGAAAAATCAGACATTTTTTTCTTTGATATGATCATTGTAAATCAAACGCCTATGACTAAAAAGATGAACTTTTGGAATTTTCCTATTGTTTACAGCAGTTCATTTATTACAGTAGCATTGAAAAAAATTACTTATGACCATTTTTCAGACCTATGATTGTTGCAGCATTGTCAAGAGTCAAAATTCAGACACTTGGCAATGTATTTATGATGGTTGCAATGTTCCAGGGTCATGTGGTCATATTTTGCAATCTTCTGAGAAGCAAAGTCAATGGGGAGGCCAATTTTCATAATAACCGTGTTACTAACTTAACAACTGCAGTGGTTCATTTATTAATTGAGGGGTGTCACTTAATAATTGGCTCACTTAGTAATAGAAATTTTGGGCTCAGTTGTGGTTTTAAGTCATTTCATTACTTAGGATAGATTGTACAATATCTGTGAGCCCTGCACTGTATCTGCCATTTGAAACACTTTGATATAAATTCAAGGACCACTGCCATAATTGCAATTGTTTTTTTATATGTGTCTGTGGAAAGGGTAGAATAATAAGCAGCATACTTTTTAATTGTATTTAATACAATTTATATTTTATTACTTTTAAATTGCATCCAATTTAATTGGTTTCTTTGCATGCCAGATTTCAAGGAGAATATCTCCAACATGCCAAAGAAATCTGAAAAAAGCAATGTATTCCTGACAGCCCAGGGTTACTTTTGTAATACTGATTGTATCTTTCCCCCCAATATTCCTCTCTCTCTTTTTCAGCATTCCTATGCACCACATTGCCATCCCATGGCTCCTCCCAGCCCCAGTACTAATAGTAGCAATAACAATAGCAACAGCAGCAATGGTGAACTGTTGAGTAAAACCAACCTGTACATCCGAGGCCTTCCTCCGGGCACCACTGACCAGGACCTAATCAAACTGTGCCAGCCGTAAGTAAAATTACTTCTGTTTCCCACTTGTTCTGTTTTTCTGAATCACATGTGCAAGGACAGATGGTCCCCAACAACTTGGAACCTTTATTTATGTGCAGATGAAGTAATTAAGTGTGTGGCTTGCCTTTGGATAACATCTGATAAAAACTTGCATCTTGGTCTGGAGAGTGACAGAAACATCCTGATAACCTCTGCTGGACAAAAAAACATAATGGTATGCAGACTTTTTAGGAAAATAGTAAAATGTTCACTTGACACTGAGTAAAGCATGTATTAGTGGTTGCTGAGGAAATTTGTTGCAGTGGAAAAGAGAACAGATATAGAAAGACAACGGACATGTATCCCAACATGGCTATTATAGGAGGAACTTTTGGGGTGAGATCTAATCTCTTGAAAATCTTAACCCTTCCAAATTAGCAAGCTATTAATATCAAATATCTGGATAAATGTTGCTTTGAATCTTTTTGTTCGAGTAAAATTAAAGAAATGAAATATATTATTCTTTTATTTCTACACATCTCTCAGCTTCAATGTTCTATTAACAGTATTCCTGTCATCACGAGTTGGTAATGTTTAGTTTCAATTAACTGCTCAGAACTGATGAGTTCATTTGAGTTTGGCATTCTTCTTTCGCTCTTTCTTCTCAGCCACTTCAGAATTTCCCAAGCAAGGATGGTCTTAAGTTTTAAATCTTACTTTATCTGATGCTGGAATAATAGTTTTGCCTATAACACAAAAGAGGAACATATATATACTAAGCGTGCACTGAACATATATCACATATTTATATGCCCATCCTTGGAGTGAATCTTTGGATTTTGAAATTTGTTCATTTGTCTTTATGACTGTATTTGTCAGATTAGTATTAAATAACCACTCAGATAGGTAAATTATATATAGTATTTATAATCAATTGCTACAGTAAGAAGACATGTATTTCATAAAGTCTTTTATTATTTTGTTTTAGCTCTGTTTATAATTAAAAATATGAAACCACTTCTATGAAGGAGCACTGTCATCAATTACAGTTATAACCCAGCATTTTTTTGGCTCATTACAACTTACATCCTTCTTTCAACTTTCTACAGTTCTTCCTTGCCTTAGGCTTTTGATATATTTCCATATTTCTCTTTTGATTAGCACTAACTTTATCCATTTCTTCTGTTGTCTAGGATCTCTTCCCTGAATCCTTGGTTTTAAAATCTAATGTTTATTTTGTCCCTTTACATTTCCTTAGCCTTCAGTTCAAGCCCACAAAGAATATGCATAATTGTATGTTATAAGGGTACATTACTGTTAGGGAGGATAGTTTTTTAATTCTACTTTCTGTTCTTTTTTTAATGTTGTCACTTAATTGCAATTGTCATTTTTTAAGGAAGCATGGCCAGTAGCCGTACTCTTTCCATTGGACTCCCTTGCTTTTCACATATTGGAGCAGGCTATTCTGAAGAGGATTTTGCAGTACATGCCTTCATGTTGTAGACTTCTTATGCAGGACGTTACAGAGTTAAGTGGCAAGATGGGATGTAGAAGATGGGAAGACCCATCCAGCCCTATATAAAGGCTTGTGATTTCTTCTGGATCAAATTCAGGTAGAATTCAGGTAGTACTCAATTTACAACCATAATTCAGTCAAAATTATGATTGTAAGTCATTGCAGTTATAAGTCAAGGCATATATTACTAGATTAGGTTTTTCAGTATTTTGTAAGGCAGTTGTAAAATGAAAGCCATGATTGTTAAGCAAATGCATTTTTCCTGATGTATGCTTGTTTTTTGGCTAGGAACTGAAAATAAACACCAGGCAAAAACATTGTAGATTGCAGCCATGTGACTGTGTGATGACCCTAATAGTAATCCAAATGCCAAACACCCAAAATATGATCATGTGACTGTGGGGAAGGTGGTAACTTCAAAAACAGTAATAACTAACAGTAATAATAGCTTGTGGTAGATTTGAAAGGTCTGATGATAAATCAAGGACTATCTATATAAGAAATGCTGATATATTTAAAAACCATTATCAACATACCATATTATGTATAGCACAGAATAGTACTATGCTGTTCAGTGACAGGCTGAAATCTGCAATCATGCGCAGTTTTGATCTGTGCTCGCCGCTGGAGTGCCCTGAGCTGGCTGGTTTCAGGGCTAAGCCACCCCATAGAGGTGGTGAAGAGGTGGGAGACTGCCAGCAGGGTTGAGAAAAGTCACATCTCTCCTCCCCAGCTGGCCATTACTCCCTTTCCCGAAGGCAGTTGCAGCAGTGGTCAGAAATGGCCACCTCAAAGAAGAACTTGACTGGAAAAGAATGTGCAGGAGGAAGATAAGAAGATAAAGTTTTGGGTGACTGGATCGAACTGAAAAAGAAACAATATAAAGTACCCTGGAATTTGAATTATAAAGAACAACATTGTTCCCAAAGAAGACTTTGTAGCAGCGAATGAGAGAGGGAAGGGAAAGGATTTGGGTTTTTTTCTTTTCTTCCCTATATTGACAACTAAGAGATTTAAGCAAGAAACCGGCAAAAAACCACTTTGACGTTAACAGGCATTTAAGCAGAAAATAAAATGTCAAAGGGATAATAAAGATTTCTGGATTCTCAAAGACTTTTAAAAGAAGGAAAAAAACAAAAGGGTGGGATCTGGAAAATGGAGGAGACCACCTGGAAGTGAAAGGAATTAACAGTGAAACTTTAACAAGATTCCTAAAAGATACATTTTAACTGAAACTTTGTAACAAGATAAGAGAATCCCAGGAAGAGAAAGTGGAAAAAAGAAGCAAGAAGAAACAACTTTGGATTATTTGGATTACTTGGTGATTTTTGGATTTTTGTCGATTGGATCTAAAGGACTAAAATTAATTGAGTGGTTGTTTAAAAGTTTTTAAAATTGTATCACGCTTGGAAGAATTGAGAATGGAACTTAAAAAACAGAAAGAAGATGCACAAGAAGGAAGAGGTTCTTTTGGCTTCATATTTCAATTTTTAGAAGTGGAGATCCTGAACTAGGAGAAACAACAGGAAATGCCTGTAGAACAAGAAGGGCGGGACAAAGAAGAAGCCATCTTCAATGACCAAGTATTTCTATGTGGGGAAAAGAAAGGAAAGGGGGGAAAGAGAGTGAAAAATTTAAGATCTGAAAAAACAACCCCAAAAAAGAATAGTTTGAAAAGTAATTACAACATTAGGAAGAAACAGAAGAGAGGATTACAAAAGAGAGAAAAAGAATTAGAGAGAGAAAAAGGGAAAGGAGAAGAAGAGGGGGAAGAGGGAAAGGAAAAGAAATTATAAAGGACAGAAACAGGACATAGAGAAACAGGGAAAATGTACAAGGATTAAGGGTATAAGCCTATTTAGAAGACACAGAGATAATGGGTGAAAACTTAATTGAAAGGGGAATTCTGCAAGAGTACATAAGATAGTACTGTTATATTAGAAATAGAAATGAACTTTGAAAATGTGAAACAAGTGTGATTAAAATGATAGATAAAATACTCATTGTAAAGTAATGGAATGTTTAATAAATAAATGAAATAAAAAGAATGAGAGAATGAAATTAGGAAAGGAGGGGAACATTTCAATTATTATAAATGTGTTATAAAAATTTAAGTGAAGAGGAATATGAAACAAACATGAAAAAATTATGGAAATATTATAAGTGTTCCTAGAAGTATAATACCCTTTTGAAAAGAAATGTTAAAGATGTCAAAGATTATAACCAACATCAATGATAGAGCTGAATTGGAATAGAATAAGTATTTTATTTATTATTGTTATATATACATTTTCTCTTTAAGAAATTAGTGTGTATTTTAAGAATGTACCAAGCAGAATTCGACTGGAAGTTATGTGTTATATTGAATGTTATAATTGTAAAGGCATAAATTGAAGTTTAAATAAGAGTTGAATGGATAAAAATACAAGATACAAAGGTGTCATACTCCAATTAGTAACTACAGGGAAACATTTTGTTTAATGAGAAAAGAAAATATGAAATTGAGACAGGACAGACAGAAGTATAAATATAATGACTAGAAAGGTATTGAAACTTAGAAAAAGATTTAGAAAGGAATGAGATAATTAAAAGTAAGATTGACAAAACGAAGGGAAAAATTATTGAGAAAATGTTAAAATAGTAATAAGATATGGAATAGAACACAAAGATTAATATGAAATTGAATTTGTGTCTGTATAGAGAAGTGATAACCTGGGACCATGCCATTCTCAAAAAAGGAAATTTTACTTGTATTATGTTTTGTGAAAATCCAAATAATTTTTTTATTTAAAAAAAAAAGAATAGTACTATGCTATATACAGGTGAAACTCGAAAAATTAGAATATCGTGCAAAAGTTCATTTATTTCAGTAATGTAACTTAAGATGTGAAACTAATATATGAGATAGACTCATTACATGCAAAGCAAGATAGTTCAAGCTGTGATTTGTTATAATTGTGATGATTATGGCTTACAGCTCATGAAAACCCCAAATCCACAATCTCAGAAAATTAGAATATTACATGCAATCAATAAACAAGGATTGTACATAGAATATTCTTCTCCTTCTCCTTCTTCCTCATGTATTTGCTGATATGTAGAAACCGCCATTTCTACAAAGTGGAAGACAGCTCCCAAAGAATCCTTGCCTTCTTGTTCTCTTTCTTTTAATTTTTCATATTCCATTTTTAATTCATCCACAGATAGTGCCACTGTAAATTTTTAAGAACAACCCAGATGTTTTTAATCTTAAAGTAATTTCCAAGTGTCAAAGTTATCAAACAATCCAAACAGACACAAAATATTTCCTCTTCTTCTCTTTGGAGTTTTTCCTCCTGGGGCAAAATCCCAAAATATATTTTAAAGCCATATTACAGTTAGTTGCTGTTCTTATAATCTTCAAGGCGTCTCCTCCAACAAATTTTTAAAGATTTTTTTAGTCCTCTCCTTCCCACTTATAACAAAGAGCTTATTTTTACCTTAAAGAAGCAGGTTTTTTTAG